CACGAATTTCGTGCACCGGGCCCCTAGTTGTGTTATAAATGCCTACAGTATTCAGTACAGCGACATGCTGTATAGGTTTGTAGCCTAGGAGCAATAGGCTATACCTTATGGCCTAGATGTGTAGTAGGCTATACCATCTAGGTTCGTATAAGTGTACTCTATGATATTCACACAATGATGAAATGCCTAACAATGCATTTCTCAAAACATATTCATGTTAAGCATTGCATGAATGTATTTAAATCACTCTGATGGGGGTATTATTAATTCTAAACTCTATACCATAAGTGAAGTAATTTATATTTCTTGATCTTACCTGCATGACCTTTACTAAACTTTACTGATTATTGTTACTTGTGTTATGACACCAACAAAATGAGGAACTCCTAAGATTTTATTTATATAGCTTTACTAAAATTTATTTTCATTTATTTTTGTGAGTTCCAAAAAAATTACTTAAATTTCCAAAAACAAAAACAGATAAAAACAACAACAACAAAAAACAGAAGGGAGGGAGGGCAGATTTAGAGAATAGTGAAAAAAACGACGGCTTTTAATATACCTTTTCGGCTTCTTCTGCTTCTTTTTCTTTTTGTTTTTTTTCTTCTTCTCTTCTAGTTTTTATTTGATCCACTATTTCATTTAATTTTTCTTGGACAGCTGTTACCAAAGTAAAGATCATCACCATACCAAGGTTTTCTTCTGCCTATGTAACAAAACAAACAAACAAACAAAAAAGCAACAACAAAAAAAGGGGTCGTAGTGAGAAGCATACTTCTCAAATTAAAAAAACCCATTAGAGTGTTTCAGCATAATAACTAAATTCCGTGCATTCATAATATGATTACTAATTCAGTTATATATCAGTTCAGACACTTGAATAAATGATTATTTAAGAACTGAACATATATAAACAATATCTTAAATTTTAAAGTAATTTACTATATCCAACCTAAACCAGACATTTCAGTAAATTGTTTAATAATCATACATGTAGGTAGAATGCAGAAGACCTTTCCTATAGTAGCTAGTAGCATCAGCTCTTAAGTATATTTTCATTATTTTAGTTCCTTTTGGACATTTTAAGAGCTGCGACAATGAAGTGAACTTTAAGGCCAGAACAATTTACTAACATAATATAATAATAATAATAAAGATTGTAGGTAGTTCTGTGATTTATCTTTATCTACCTTTTTCTTTTGATTTGAAATGGTTCAAAACCAAATATAAAAGCATCTCTGACTCATGGAAGGACTACAATGCAAAAGCTACTTTGAAGTTGGTCATTTGAAGGCCCTGACTGGGAATCGAACCATGACCTCCTGGTTCATAGGTCAACGCTCAACCACTGAGCCACGCTTGCTGGGAGCTCCAGATATTTTTAAAGTATCAACCTTAAGAAGATCAATACTCTTGGAAATATACAAGTCACATTTAAGATGGAGACATGTTTTCTGTTGATTCTTAGAGCAAAAAAACAAAACTAGGACTTCTGATTTTAAGATGGTAAAGATTGTGCTTATCCTCCCTACTCCCTACTCTGAAGAACACATGGAAACTCTCTACCCAAGCAAGAGACAGTTTTGAATGCTGTGGGTGGCCCATCCCACCACAGAATTAGCCAAATAAAAATTTTCCAATACCCACTTTCCTTCTTCATAATCTCCCCTCTTAGAGGAGTCACAAACCATTGTTGCTATTTATAAGCGTAGGGATAAGGAGACATAAGAAAAAAATCAATCACTATTCTTCTTCCCAGATTGTAGGCAACTGGCTTGCAACAGGTCAGAGGGGTTGAAAATTTCAATTCTTTTCAGTTGGAATTTTTAATTGCACATGGAACTGGATATTCTGAGAATCTAATTGAAGTTGTGCTTTTACCTGTCAGACTTTTTATATGTAAAAGTCATGGGGCTGACTGAGTTCAAAACAGGGGTACAGGAACAGCTTAAGTCTAAAGACAGAGTGGGAAATAAACAAATATATATACATACTAGGAGCCCAACACACGATTCGAAATCGCGCAGCACTGCCCACCCTCTGGTCCGGCCCTTGAAGCAGCCACTGCTGCTGCTGATCAGGCCCTCCCCCAGCGCAGGCACATGGACGCCCCTGCTGCCCCGCCCCCGACACTGCGGGAGCAACCTCCTCCTGTCTGGTCCACCCGTTAGGGCATCCTGGTTAATTAGCATATTTCATTATTTTATATATAATGAATTCTGCTTTTTCAATGTAATAATTATACATGTTTAATAGAATTTTTTGACTCTTGCAATTGATGTATAATACTTAAGGCCAAAAAAAATAATACCATTACAAAACCTTACCTGTAATGCTAATAATTTTAAGATGCTCGTGACATCATTATCTTCTAGATTTTCCTGGGAGAATATTTCATAAAGGGGGGCTTCATCTGGGTATTTCTCACTGTATGTAAACTTGAGGGTAGTCTGGACAGCTAAAAACACCAGAAAACAGTTTGCTATGAATACCTTAAAGTGTAAAGTATAGAGAAGTCAACATCTTTGTTGAATCAGTAATTAATTTACGTGTCAATAAAAAGCACGAAAGATTTTCCAGCAAAGAAAAACAAGGTTAAAGAAAAACAAGTTACACCATTTTTAAAACCCTCAAGATGAACAAAAGGTACAACATACAACACAGAATAATTAGTGTAGTAGGCTCATTTAGGCCTCTACTGAAGCCAGTTCCCAGTGCAGAGACCTGGCGGTAGCCCTGGGGCCTATATTTCTGTCTGCACAACACCAGCAGGGGATTGCTATGGGCTGTTAGATGATATGTTTTGAAGTAGACAGTGTGAGAGGCTGTGTGAGAAACCTTTCACGTAACTCATCTATACACATATATTTAAATAACAGTAGAATACCCATCCTAAAGAGAGAGATAAAACCACGCAGATAGGTGTTTATCTTGACTAATTTATAGCAGCAAAAATCCAGTAAACAATCTAAATGTCCAAAGATAAAAAAGTCATGGAAAAATAATAGTCACTGAACAAAATACCACACAACCACTGGAATACATACACATGCCAAGTCTTGTTTTTGCCAAAAAATATCTTACTTTTTCTCCATCTGATGTATCGTTAATGTTTCTGTTTTGCTTTTAAAAACAGCTTACTGGTATTGTGTCAGAATGTATTTTATTGATTTTCTATTTCTCCAGAAGTCATGTTTACATAGTATACCAACTGGAAATGCACAACACTTACACTAGATTCTTAACAGCATCCCACACCTCTGCACCTGCAAGGCCCAGCACAGAATGGCTCTGGAATGAGTAAAATTCCTGAGAGGCTTAGAAAAACCACAAGTATTTTTTTATTAGACTTACTTTCATCATTTTCTCCAGCCTCGGATGTCACAGTAATTGTGAAACTAGGAGGGTTTTCTGATAATACTGCAAGAAAATATACATAGAGGTTAAGTTATTAAGATGCTTTCCTCATTAGCCAAATATCACTACCCAGTCAGGGAAAGTGATTCCATTTCCGCAAATACAGATTAAATAGAACACACAAATGATAAAACACATCAGTCAATTTTCCATTTAAATCTCTGGTTGTCTTTAATTTGGAAAGAAATACCTATAGTAGACACCTTCCTGGAGTTTTATCAAATCAATTAAAATAATTAAGTAATATACCTTCAATTCAAAATCTCCAGCTATATATGGAAAATTATATTCTAAAAAATTCCCAAATGGAATAACAAAAAGTTTGATGTTTTTTATTAGAAACTAGCCACTGATAAATATTCAGTATTATCACTAATTTTTACACTAATATATTCTGAAATACAATTCAGAATCTTCTTGACAAATAGTAAATATTCATTTGTTAGAGCTGGTGTCTTCTAGGTAATCTCTCCCACAGCATCTCTAGAACCAAACAAAGAAAACTTGCATTCAGAACCATGACAAGAATAAACAAGGAAAGTCAAGCCACCCAGGGCAGCTGCTGAGTCCATGAGGAAAGCCCCGCCTCCCTCCAGGCCTGGGAAGCACTGGCCCCTGACTGGGTGGAATCGGGTCAGCAGCCTCTCTCTGAAACGGAGAGCATGGGATCTCCGCAGAGTCACTGTGGGAACCACTCAGCTTTCCCTACCCCGGAACTCCTGACTTTCATCAATATTCGCTAACAATAAACATTTCAAGACATACGCCTTCAGTTTAACTGAAGTTTAAAAGTACTTGAAACAACGATGAACATCTCCGATTACTTGAGAGGTGTTTGTCGGAAAGATAAAAGACTCACTGGACTCCTATTTTAATGGGCCTCAGGCAGGCCAGCCCATGATGAAAAAGTCCCTGAACAGAAATTATAAGAAAGCTTTTATGATTGGCTCTACCTTTTTTAAAAAAATAAATGTGTAAAATATATTTGATATATTTCATTCCTATTTCTTTTCATGACCAACTTTAGTATTTACATGTCATGAAATGTAAACATTAAAACTACAGAAATAAAGGTTCAACCCAATGACATTACAACTTACTACCATTTTCTAGAACTTCATGAGGTGGTAAGTCAGGAATCACTTATAGCCAATAACAACAGCTAACATTTATTGAGCATTACTTTGTGCCTGTACTGTGCTATGCACTTACATAAAGACCTGTTAATTCTCACACCAAAACCATGATTTTATACTGTTACTGTATTTCACCAAACTTAAAAGGCTATCAAGTATAAGATACATGCTACTTTATATACCACTAAGAAAAAAAGCTGCAATTAAACTATGATATGTGATAGATTTTGTAAGACAAATTCATATTGCAGAGATGTTAAAATGTAAAAATGTCTTAGAATCAATTAACTATTGTATCATACCAGTTTTATACATGTGAAAACTGAGATAAAAACTTTTTACTAATTTTCCCAAGGTTATACAGGTAGTAACTGGCAGAACTTAATAACTGTATAGAGTTTCATTTAAAAAGAAAATTTTTTTTCCAGCTGAGAAATACCAGTGAAATCATTTGAGCTAGGCTATGAATTAAGGCAGAGTGGTAAGTAGAGATGGAGAAAAAGATGTAGATTAACACAGCAGCAAGGGTATAATGGTAGAAAAGCTTAAGGAACAATAGGGAATAAGAAACTATCCCATTTGATGGAAATATGTGTGAGTGAGGTGAATGAGGAACACTAGTTGAAAGTACAGTTGAAAGTTTAGTTGTGGCCAGTGATAGGTTTTTGTTTTTTGTTATTTAGAAGCAGTGATATGGTCAGAATTGTATTTCTAAACACAGAAAATAAATCTAGCAACAGTGCATAAAGTGAAAGGAAAGAAAGGAGATCAGAGGCAGGATGAACTCAATAGCTAATGAAATTGTCCCAGCAAAGATAATGAGGTTCTGAAGGAGGTTGGCACCAATGGGAATAGCAAGGAACATGGTGATGAATGACATTTTGAATATGCAGGCAGAGGATGGTGGAGCCATGAACAAAAACAAGAAATGCAAAGGAAAAATCAAATGTGATACATTTGAAGGACACAGAGTAGCTTCAGTTGGAGGAATTGAGTATGCAATCAGAAATGAGCAAATGGAGCTAGAGGTAGGTTTGAATTTAATTTGGGATCATTCACGAAGAGGTGATAGCTAAAGCTATAAGACTAGAGAGAAAATGGAGAGTAAAATAAGGACCAAAGCCAGCTTTGTTAGGAACCCTACATTTGGGGGGCGAAATGTAAGAGGAGGAAAAAGTGCCAGAAATGAAAAGAAAAGCAGCAGCCAGGAGAGGTAAAAACACTTCAAGAAAAGACTATTTTATTTGTGAACCACCCCAGCTATCAAGATCCAGGTCTGACACGGCAGTGTCTACAACGTGCACCTCCAATGTGTCTACGATGCATATGTGCCTGTGCAGCGAGGTGGGAGGAAATGGGCAATGAACCCTTGGCCTGTAAGATCATGCCTAAGTTCCTACCAAGGCCCTTTGTGATCTGGCCCCTGCTTACTTGTCAGGTCTCATTTCCATACCTCCCACTTCTCCCTTTATATTCTAGCAATACCAAGCCACTTGCCCATTGACACAGACTCATCCTTCTACTCATGCTGTGGTCCTGAAGCATCCATCTTATATAAAAACTACTGTTTGAAATTTTTATATATATATTTTTATTGATTTTTTACAGAGAGGAAGGGAGAGGGATAGAGTCAGAAACATCGATGAGAGAGAAACATCGACCAGCTGCCTCCTGCACACCTCTTCCTGGGGATGTGGCTGCAACCAAGGTACATGCCCCTGACCTGAATCGAACCTGGGACCCTTTAGTCCGCAGGCCGGCGCTCTATCCACTGAGCCAAACCAGTTAGGGTGAGATATCAGTCTTAAGTTCATTGGATGGTGATAGTTATCCCATTTCAGAGAGGCCATTAAACCTGCCCCAAAGTTATCAGTGCTGGCACCAGGTCAAGCCTTTGGTCGAGGTCTTAAAGCCCCAGCACATAGGGGCTCTTTAAGAACTTGCAAAGGGGACCGGAAAACCCCATATTTGGGAGACAAAGAAGGTAAAAAGGTATAAATACAGGAAACTTCCTGTGTGACTTCGCCTAGAATTCTAGAGACATTTTTCTCTGGGCCTGCGTAATAATAAATATAACTCCATCTCTCTAAACGTTGCTTGGTTCTTCTCTGGTTTTCTGTAACAGTCCTTCCCCACATTTCGTTCATATAACTCCTCATCACCCCTCAGTTTTCCAAAACAACTCAGACCCTCATCTCTCCCAATGCTCCAGCTGCACCCTATACATACCTCCATGAAAGAGCCATCACACTGTGCTGCATATTACTTATCCAATGTCTTTTCCCAATAGACTGGGCTTCTAACAATCACAATTGTAAATACTTGGTAAGTGACGATATGGGTGGTAGCAAGAACATCTCTAACTGCCTGACCTTTGGAGCCAGACAGATGAGGGAGGCAACATGAACACGAAAGAAGTTGATAAACAATTAATCCATAAGAGATCATGACGAAAGGCATGTTCAGTGAAAGTGCGGGGATGAAAGAACTAGAGGGCTACAAAGTTTATAGACAGAAAGAGGAATCTCAGAGGCCAGATTTTTGAAGATAGATTGATTTCCATTTCGTCAGCAGTTGATGAAAACGGAAATCAAAACTATTCGCTGATAAGGACAAGGAATTATAAAGCTATATTAGAAGAATCAGAAACTAATATGGTACATTTCCAGTGAAGAGTGTCTTATAGTTAACAGTTATAAAGTATTTCCATTATTCTTCATTAAACAGATATGGAAACTGAGGACTGGAGAGGTTATATGATTTTTCTAAGGCAGTGGTTCTCAACCTTGGCTGCACATTAGAATCACCTGGGAATCTTTTTAAAACAGAAATTCTGTTTCTTTGTTATGGGGTGGGGCCACAACATTAGTAACAAAGAAACAGAATTTCCGGAGGATGAGGCCCAGAAATCAGGATTTTAAAAAGATTCCCAGGTGATTCTAATGTGCAGTCAAGGTTGAGAAGCACTGGTCTAGCACAATACAAAAGAATCACCAAGGCTGTTGCAGGGTTAAAATGTATCACTTTTATAACTGCTTATATGCACAGTATTTAATGAGGGATACCTTATGTCCAAAGAAATGAGAAGAATAGCACATCTTATGCCTTCTGAACTCTGCCTACACAGTGTCCGTGTCTGTGACATTTCCAATGTAACCAGAATGGCTACTTGTCACAATTAAGAGTATATCCAACAACTGACCCTATATTCCAATTTATTTAGACACTGACACATAAGCAAGGAGAGAGAAGGAAGCCAGACTCCATACACACCCAGTTAACGACACTCTCACCCCATGAACATCCTCACAGCACAGCTGAGCTGCTGGTGAGAGAGAACATGAACGGGGCGGGAGCTACCCGGGGTAGCTGAGAGACATCTGCCTGTTGGCAAACAGAACATTTGCTACCATTGCAAGCAGCGGTCCAAGGCAGAGCTGAGGAAACTACACGACACGATGGAAGGGAGAGGGGCTGGGGCCTGTTGAGTTGAAATAACGAACCTTACACACTGAATTCTGACGGTCAGTGACAGACGACACCCAGAGGAAGGCATGGGGAACAGAAGTCCCACAAATCCGGGTGCGACTCGCTCTGACTGCTTTTATTTGATCACTTCTCAAAAAAACCCCAAAACTGTGTAACGTGGGAGAAGCCACAGACACGGCTGTCCTGATGCATTTTAAGAATCATCTGGCTCTGGCCTGTTTGGCTCAGTGGATAGAGCCTCGGCCTGGGGACTGAAAGGTAACGGGTTCGATTCCGGCCAAGGGCACATGCCGGGGTTGCAGGCTTGATCCCCAGTAGGGGGCTGCGGAAAGCAGCCAATCAATGATTCTCTCTCATCATTGATGTTTCTATCTCTTCCTCCCTCTCTCTTAAGTCATTAAATATATTAAAAAAAAAAAAAAGAATCGTCTGGAGCACAGCTTAATACACAAGTGTCTTCCTTGACGTCATGCACTTCTCAACATGTTACATTAGCTCAGTGGTTCTCAACCTTCTGGCCCTTTAAATACAGTTCCTCATGTTGTGACCCAACCATAAATTTTCGTTGCTACTTCATAACTGTAATGTTGCTGCTGTTATGAATCGTCATGTAAATATCTGATATGCAGGACGGTCTTAGGCGACCCCTGTGAAAGGGTCGTTCGACCGCCAAAGGGGTCGCGACCCACAGGTTGAGAACTTCTGCTTAGCTCAACCTGCTACGTAATGCTCCCCCCCATCCCAGCCGGAGCCTGACCCCACATCCCACCTGTCTGAAGGTGAAGGTGCGGGAAAGGAGTTCCAGACCCAGCTAAGTCTTGGGACCAGACCTGCCGCCAGCTCGCTGGCCGACCCAGAGCACGCCGCCCCCGTTCCCGAGCCCCCGCCGCCCCGCCGACTGCACGCAGCCCGGGCTGGAGGGAGGC